CTGCTGCTGCTGCTGCTGCTGCTGCTGCTAGCCCAGTGACCCACTGTGCTGTCACTTGACAGTCATTGGTAGTCACCTGTCGTCGGTCTCCTTCTGTCCCACTGAAAGTAATTAAGATAACATTAGTTATAAATCATTACAACCATTACATTATCAATAAATGTTAGGATGTGATTACTAAGACTAAGGACAGAATTGAAAACATCATTTAAAGCAATAAAAGCAACATGCTGTTTCACCAAGGTAAGGAAAGACTGACATATTTAAACAAGGCAGACAATAATATATGTTATATACACATTACACATAGTTATACTGTGTAATAATACATTTCTATCATATAATTATGCTATGTCATTAATATAGCCTACTTATACTGGCCCATATATAAATACATATCCTTATCCACATGCCTTATATTTAAACTGTGCACTGTGTACATACTGTGTAATATTCCTGTGTGCAATATTTTGCCACTTCCTGTGGGATATCTATACGTTCCTATATTTTTACAGTAAAAATACTACATGTGTATTAAGCTGCTGTAACGTGAATTTCCAAGGTTGGGATTAATAGAGTCTTACATAACTGTAGTAAACTAACACTAAACCTCAAATATTAGCACATTTTACTTTAAAAAACAACATACAGATGTAACTGTTTATGGCGTGATACACATATATTATAAATCAATGTAGTTATTTACAGCTACTTACCAAAAATCGGAGTTCTGTCTTTCAGTATTAAGTATTTAAACGGCCCGCCAGTTACTTCCGGGAACTATACGACGTCTACATGAGTCACGTGACGCACAAGCATTTTGGACTTCCGTTTTCGCGACTCTGTTATATTTTACGGCACTCTGTCAGAGGGAGTGGAGTAAAGGGAGTGACGACATATCAGCATTTAGGTTGTGTTTCTCAGAAACGAAGTCATACACAGGAAACCCTCAGCACAGGCGGAAGGCAGCTGGTGACTGTGAGTACAGAGCTCTAACTGTGTGTGTTCAACTGTTTAAATATGTACTTTTATTTTGGTCAGTGACATTGAGTCAGAGTCAGAGGCAACAAGCTGCTGAAGGTTATAACACCTTGTTATGATTTATATATACTATGGAGAGCTTTATTCATGTGTTCATCAACAGCTAACAAGATAATATGATCACATGATGAAGCTTTTAAACTTCATACCAGCCATAATGTTTGTAGATGTTTATAACAGAGTGTTATAAACATCAGGTCCATAAAATGTTATAATGTGTACAACAGTAAACAGGTTACAGCATTAATAACAGTAAACATGATGAAGCTGAGTCTGATTCTGATGATGGTTGCTCACGGTAACTTTAAAGGAGCAGTGTGTCACATTTTGGGGGATTTAGTGGCATCTAGAGGTGAAGACTGCAGATTACAACCAGCTGAAAGCTCTCGTCAAATACTGCTGCGTTGTCAGTGGGCTCGACGTCAGACTCCAACACAGAGAGGAACCTTTCACGGCGGTATGATACTAGCGCTGTAGTCAATCAAAGAAAATCTTGGTCGACTAAAGTCGCACATAATCTTCAACTAATCGATTAGTCGTGGGGGAAAAAATCTGCACGTTATTTTTACTTCTGCGGTGGTGTGTCTGTGTCACTCTGCAGTTACACCTCCAAAACACTAGTCGGCGGTGGAGGACTGTGTTAAGAGCTGTAAAGTTTAGTTCAAATCAAACTTTATTTATATAGTTGATTCAAAACACACATTAAACACACATCAAACACACATTAAACACACATTAAACACACATTAAACATGACTTAATAGAGACAGTTTCAAACACAAATCAGCTTCACTATAACTCGCAGCATTCACAGACAAACACTTGTCTTTATCTGGACACATTTTCCCCACAAATACAACATGCTAACGTTATTAGCACAAGCCTATGGCATTTTACATTGTATACATTAGCCTAGCAGCTAGCTAACTTTTCCTCTACTCATATAAAACCAGGGACAACAGCAACATTTAACAAAGGTAACGGCACATAATTCAGCTCCATCACAACTCACAACATTCACCGCCAAAACAACTGTCTTATACTAAACATGTTTTCATAACAAATACAACATGCTAACGTTATTAGCGCCAGCCTATGGCATTTTACATTGTATAAATTAGCCTAGCGGCGAGTGGAGATTTCCTCTGCTCATATGAAGCCAGGATAAATCACACACACACAACTTAAAATGCTATTTTAGTGGAGGCTTTATTGTCTTCACAATTTATTGTTTCTTATCTGGAGGTCTGCGTCACCGCGACGCTGAGCCTGAGGGTGGGCGAGTTCAACTTTTTGTCAACAACCGGGGTGTTTTGAAAACACCCCCATTTTCACAGGTAACTTAGCCTGTCCCCCCGCCGCAGGAAACAATGGATTAATCCTGGAAAGCTGTTGATGTAGCACTTTTCTCCTTATGAAAGTAACACAGCGATTATTTGACCAATGAGAATTTGGTCGGACGAGAGCATAGCGACCAAATAATCGACTAGTCGACCAGGAGACTACAGCCCTACTAGCCACGGAGCAGCGGTGATACCTCAAGAAATAAACACCGCAGAATTTTGTTGATTGACCAATCAGAATCAAGTATTTAAGAGTGCCATGTTCTAACTAATAATAATAATAATCATAATAATCTTACCATATAACAACTTCATTCCTGTCTACGTCAGGATCTCATATCTACGAGATAAGGTGTCATTTTTTAAAAATATTTTATTCACTGAATGAAATGCACCTCTGTAGTATAGCGTTTGTCCAGATAAACTGTCGGCAGTTTTGAAGAGATGTGTTTTGGTGGGAGAGCCTGAGAGTGGGAGGAAGTGTGCCGGTGGACAGGTGGGCGGAGCCAGGTTCATCAGTGATGCAGAGGAGTTTGAAGTGGATACGCTGGGGGATGGAGCCAGTGGAGGTTATGATGCACGGGGGTGATGTAGTCATGCGCGTGGGAGCGTGTGAGATGTCAAACAGCTGAGATCTGGATGTAGATTGTTGAGAGTTTCAGACAGTGAATCATAGAGGAGGCTGTCTCAGTCTGGAAGTGGTAAATGAGTGAATGAGTCTCTGCAGCTGAGCAGGGATGGACGGACGGACGGAGGTGAAGTTTCTGAGATGGAGAAAGGCTGTTTGGTGATGTGTTTGACATGTTGGTCAGAGGAGGGTTTGATCAAAGATGGCACAGAGGGTACAGACATGGGTGCAGGAGAGCACAGTGGAGCCATCGATGGAGAGGATTTGAGATTTGGGACTTGGGCTGAACGGTGATACACGATATATATCCCTGTATTTTCTGCACGTTCTCAGCTTGTTTGGAGCTCAGGACACTGAACTACAACAGGACTGTAAAAGGATCAGGTCGGTTTGGAACAGTTAAAAATCTTTGTTAGAGTCTTTTTCCATCTGTCGACCTTTCAAATGAATCTACAGCTGGAAAATGATTTAAACATTTTAATCTTATTCCTGCATCAACAGAGAGGCCGAGGGAGGGACGGAGACAGAGACACTTTGTCCTCCTTATTGACGTCTTGTAAATGAAATGTGTTGCCGCTGCTTTTGTTTAAACACATCTGTCGCCTGCGTCCAGGCGCCGTCTCAGTGTCACACATCAGACTACAGCTGCCAAGAAGAGTGTTGATGGAGAAACTGTGAGTGAGTGAGTGAGTGAGTGAGTGAGTGAGTGAGGGGGCGGAGCTGTGAGGAGAGTGTGAGCGAGGAGGGGGTGTGTCATGTAACACAACTTGACCCTACATAGCGATATATTTGACCTCGTCATGATATCACCCAGCCCAGGGGGGAGAGGGGGGCGTTCCCAGACCACATGAGATCTATAATCCCTCCAGTGTGTTCTCCTACCAGCTGGACCAGGAGGATCCTGATCAGATGTTGAACCACCTCAACATGAAGGAGCAGCAGCTCTACTCTGGACCTTTACTAAAGTTTATTCAACTATCAGTTTACCATTTATTAACGATGGTTATTTTGAAGTGTTACAGATGAAGGTAACAGGAGTCTTTCTGGCTCTATTGAAGTGTGTTTGTGTAGTGATGTCACAGTATCAGAGTTAAAATGACGAGTACAACAACACTCCTCATCAAGTAGACTGCACAGTGTTATCTTGAAACCACCTATCTGCCCTGTCTGAGGAGATTTTTGAAATACCAGCAGTTTCAGTATGAGTATGAGTAGCTCCTCTCTGAGGGTGCTGTCTCCCGTGATGTAAAACAAGTTGAGAAACCTTTCGCCTGGTTTTGACACCTCGCCTCTCGCTTGCACAAGGTTGTGAAAGGCCTCTGTTTATTTTCACACTGCTGCAGACTGAAGTGTGCAGCGTTTACCGTCAGAGAATGATCAGCTGAATCTGCAGCTCCTCGCAGCCTCACAGAGCTTTACAGAGAGTTTCAGCTGATCTGGTTCACTCTCTGGGCTCTCATATCGTTACTATTTTCAGAGGGAAAAGGCCACTGCTCAGCAGCTTGTGTCCGACCCAACCACTGTATCAGGCAGCAGAGACAGGACATGCAGAGGGTGTTGGACAGAACAACCTTCCTGCGGCGGATGCAGCTGACTGATAGCAGCGAGGCAGTTATTTCAGGAATGTGGACAGAAGACAACCACATAATCAGTTATCTTCATGTGACTCTGCAGAACAGCAGCAAATGGCCAGTGTTTTACACATCTTAAAGGTGCAGACACACCAAACCGACATCAAAGAACTAGCAGCGATGAAAGCCAACTGTTGCATTGTCTACGTTGCCTCACGTCGCCCTGTGTCAGTTGCATTTGAACACACTACATCCGGCGGCCAAGTAGCACGTACATTCTGCGCCTACGTGAGAGAGCGGAGTGAGAGAGTGGTACATCCTGTCAGCCGAGGGGTTTCCTATCTGTGCAGCCGAGCACCAGGGCCTTAAGAGCTTGAGACTGACCTCAGTTTTCAATCGATTGTCAACAACAGCTGCTGAACATGATTCAAAGCTCGGCCTGTTTAAACACAGCTCTTCAGTTAATGAACTGTTAACTTCATTTCATAGCTATGGGCATCATCAGAGCATGCTCCACTCGAGTCACAGAGACTAGATGTCTCATGAGTCAGTCTCATGGTCTGATTGATCACCAGTGAGGGGAACTCCAGTGCTGAAGCTAAAAGCACTGATTCATTCAGTAACAATGGTGGATCAGTGTTGTATTCAGTTCAGCTTCAGGACTGAAGCTTCTTGCCTGACTTCCAGTGAACTCTGCAGACGATCAGATGAGCTGAATATACTGTCAAATATTGTCAGAAAAGTTCTGTAAGTTTGGAGGAATATTTGGCTCGACAGAAGCTTTGTAAATAAAGTAACACACACCTACTATTAACCTGCACTGCACAGCCAAAACAATACTGAAGGGCCAGAAACTGAGGCAGAACACACAGAGGATGATGTCGCAGGAAACTGAAGGACAGAGGCCAAGACGTGTCTGCCTGCTGGGGTTCATTTGAGAACAGACAAATGTCTGCAAAACTGACAACAGCAAGAATGATGCAAGAAATGTTGACATCAGGTTGTGAAACATGCCGTGTGTCTAGACACAGGGAGGTGATCAGTGATGCTGTGGGTACACGAGGGCCTCTCAGACACACAGGGGCCACAAGGACATCAGCCTTTAAAGTTTTCTCACAGCTAAACACATAAAATAAAATAAGATGAAGAGCAAATAGAAATTGTAAGGCAATACTGAGTGTGTGTGTGTGTGTGTGTGTGTGTGTGTCTGCAGTGTCACTGGTTTCCTGTCAGACCATCCACAGCCCTGAGGATGAGCGTGTGTGCAGAGGAAGAGGAGGACAGATTCAGCTGTCTGTCTCTGAGGAGTGACAGGTCAATGGGACACCCACTGGTGTTCACTGACAAACCTCCTGCACGTATAAAGTAAGATGGCTGCTCACACTTTCATGTCACTGAAACATGACACAGGTATGAAGCAACAGCTGTTGATTTTCTTGTTGTTTTTATTTCAGAGGTTTCTACGAAGAGTCGGTGGCGTCCACCAGTCAGTCTGAGACGAGTGACTGCCGCCTTGTTTCCCCTCCAGGCTTCCATAACACACCTCAACCCACACACACAAGGTGAGATACTGTATTCATTAAACAGAGCTGGTGTGTTTCAGTCTGCTGCACATGATCTTTGTCCTCTGATGTCACTGCACGAGCAGGTTTTACTGGAGGCAGCAGTGAAACATGATAACAGAAGATATTGATCACAAATCAGGAACAAGAGCTGTAAAAAAATAGTTTGTACAGAAACAAGGAAACTGGATTCCAGTTAAAGGGAAGTGACCTAATGCCTTTGTTTGTCTTTACACTTCCTGTCTAAATGAAGTGTGTGTGTGTTGCATTGTGTGGTTCTTTACACAGTGAGGGGACATGCAACAACGGGTAGAGTCAAACCCCGGGTGTTGCAGTTATGCAGCATGTGTTGTGACCACTCAGTTACCAAGATGCTCCACTGATTTCTATCTCCATAGCACCGTCAAGATGAGGCGCACACATACACACTCACCAGGGCAACTCAGTGAGCTCTACAGGGTGTTAAAGTTACAGAGTGCAAAGTTCAAATGAGTAACACAAGAGATACGAACTGTAGGAAGTAAGCCTGTGCAGTTTAAGTCAAGTGACAATTAAAACTAAATACATAAAAGAGTGCATTAAATACTCCAACATTTAGATGCACAAGTAACTTAAATTAGAAACAATCAACAGGTGTGCGCAGCGTTAAATAGGGACGAATTTAGCTTTGACTTAAAAGTGTTCAGCGTTACAGATGTCTAATATCAACTGGGGGGTTGCTCCATGAAAGCACCGGAGTTATATGCTTGCGTTTCTTTGTCCTTAGGAGACGAGCTGCTGCATTTTGAACAAGCTCAAGTTTTTTTTTTGAGGTCTTTCTGGCTTAGGTAGGGTTTAACTTTGGCTAGAAGCCTCAGCTGATAAAAGCTAGACTTGACCACTGAGCTGACCTGTTTGTCTAGCTTAAAAGCACCATCAATAATCACACCAAGATTCCTAGCATGGGATCTCATGTGAGGTGCCAGTGGGCCCAGGGAGCTGGCAAGGACCTGAACCAGATCAGGGCGACCGAATCGGGCCAAACCTCTGTTTTGTTTTCATTTAATGTTAAGAAGTGTAAGTCCATCTATGTTTTAATGTCACTTATGCAGTTTAGCACGGCCTGAAGGGAATCTTACACCTGCAAAAACACCTGCACGTCATCAGCAAAGCAGTGAAAGGGAATACCATGCTTCCTAAATATCGACCCCAGGGGTAGCATATAAAGGGAGAACAATAGAGGGCCCAGAACTGACCCCTGGGGGACTCCGCAGGTCAGAGGGGCCACTGAGGAGGAAAACTGCCCCATAAGAACAGAAAAGGATATTGGATATTCTGACCCACAATCCTCTGCACAGCGGACGATGTTATCCGATTGACTGCACAGTCAAGTAATAGTAACAATAGGAATATTAACTGTTTCAGTCAACAACGTAATCTGAAATACAACCAACAACAAAAGGACAGAACTATAAAAATACAGACAGCTCATCTGTGACGTTATAACTTTAAAGTTAAACTACACACACTGTGAAGTAACAACAGCAGAGCTCTGCAGGTTGACCTTCGTCTCTTGTGACATCAGTGAGTTGTGTTTGTTTTATCTCCAAGGATCTCCATGGTTCAGGGAGACATGTTATGAGACAGTAATCTGTCCTGATAGTGTGCAGACTGCCTGTAACAGTACGTACTTTTCAAGGACAGCTGCAGTGCCTACCAGAAAAAGTATGTGATTCTGAATGCACCCAAACTGCTGCTGTTTTGGTCTAACGGTGTTCCAGCAGGCTGTACGCTAACAAAGCGTAATGCTACCCTCCACAGGCAAGAGTTCACCATTCACCCTATATTCTTAAATACAGTCCAGAAGCATGGAGACATTTCAGGACGGCTCTACCAGTAAGGTAACACTCCACTTCAGAGGCAAAAATAGATTTAAAGGAGAAAGCACATGGACTCAGATCTGACAGAAAACAACTTTTTTATTTCTGTGTTTGTCAGAACACAACATGTTGGACTGTTTCCAAATCCCCACACTGACACACATCATCTGAAATGTTTGCCTCTGACTATTAGATAACTGGCTGAATCACAACGCTCCATTCTAAGCCCTGTTAAAACAGCCCTCCCCCCTTCCAGATTGAATCGTCCATCTGTTCCTCTTAACAGGGGGCTGCAGAGAGAAGTGATGTCTGCCCCTTCGCTCCTCTTTCCACTCTTTGCCAATTTCTCTTTGATAAAAACATTCACAGTTTCCCGTTTGAACACTGAAACCAGTAGTTTTTCTTAACAGAGCTTCGTTAGCCAGTTTATCAGAGATTTCATTTCCCTCTAGCCCTGAGTGTCCCACGTCCCACAGGAAGTCCACTTGGCAGACCATTTTCTTGATCCTTAACAAGTTGCACAGGACCTCGAAGAGCAGACCAGGGCGGACCCTTAATGTTCCACCTCTCAAAGCTAATAAGGCAGCAGAATCCAAACAGATGACACTGTTAGGAGGTTTTACCACCTCTTTCCACCACAAAGCTCATAAAACTGTTCTAACTCTTTGGACGGACGATAGGAAAGCTCCAGATATCCTCAGGGTTCCTGGAGGTTTGTGTGGCACGAACATATCAGAGATGTATTTGGACCCAGAGCCAGAAAGTAATTTATAGATGAGCAACAAGATTTTGAGGTTGATTCTCTGAGTGACCAGTAGCCAGTGAAGGGATTTTTAAATTGGTGTTATGTGGTCGTACTTACTCATTTTCATCAAGCTACAGTTGCAGAAGAGCCTTTTTCGAGAGTCCCTGTGAGCAGTCTGTTGCGGTCATCTAATCTAGGGGAAATGAAGACGTGGGTAAACTTTTCCAGGTCTTACTTGGATTCTTGCTTTGATTCTTGTGATATCTTTAAGATGGTAGTGAGCAGATGAGTTGACAGATTTGATGTGACTATTGAAATTTAAATTGGAGTCCAAGGAAACACCAAGATTTCTGGCTTGACCCTCTGTGATGAGGGACAGGGAGTTAAGATGAGAGCCAGTATTCTGTCTTTCATTCTGTCCTCCAAAGACAGTTGTCTCCGTCTTATCTCTTTTTAGCTGGGGAGAACTTTGTTTCATCCAGTCAGTGATTTGATTGATGCAGTTACACAAAGATCCAACAGGTCACCTGGATAAGTGAAACATAGATTTGTGTATCATCTGCATAATTATGGTAAAATACTCTATTATTTCGTATAATATGGCCCAAAAGGAAGCAAATAGAAGTTAAACAATAGAGGTCCCAAGATGGATCCTTGTGGAACCCCGCAGGTCACGGCCACCTTAGATCAGCTGAAAGATCAGAGGATCAGCAAAGTTATTACATTTCACCTGATTCTGTGTTTGGAAAGGTGGATTCAGACTCCGTCAGACTGTGTGACGAGAACTGTGTTTGGAGTATTCTGATACCTTTCGTGTAGATATCCAGGAAAGACATGAGCATTAGAAAAATTACTGCTACATAACTGCAATCTACAGGAGTTTTCACCTGGACCACATGACCAGAAACTGGTCGGTGGCAAAACAGCTCAAGTCATTCATATTTATCTTATCATCAGAGTTGTGTTCATTTCCACAGGAGAAGGAAAAAGTGCTGGAAGAAGCTGCAAACTCTGGTCCCTACCAGCCAGAAAGAATGGTTGACCCCTTTCTTGAAACTGTCTGCTTCAACAGAAGCCTGCCAGGACTGTGGAGAACAAACCGGAAGAAGACCTGGACTGCAGACACCCAGTCAGACCAGCGCTGTAGAAGGTAAGACACATTTTGTAAAGTAAAGCTCTGTAGTGACACGATACTCTGACAGTGAGATGCCTTTTAATGACAGCACCAAAATATATCTATCAAACTAACATCACTAGTTAGCAAACTAGCTATAGCACAGGAGGCAGTAGTGGTTTCTAAATATTCTCTGGTCAGTAATATTTCTCAGTGACTAGTTTGCAGTCCAGTTGGGTTCAAAGGTCAACAGGCTTTGGTGATTGTAAATAGTTTTGAACTTAACATGGAAATAGACTTCTGTTTGACGAGAATACATTCATCATGAGAATGAAATAAAATGACTTTGATTCAGTGCAAATTAGTGATGCTGTAACTGATTGTGTAAATGTATTATGGTAAACTGTCCTCCATCTTGCCAGCGTCCAGGTCTACACTGCTCCTCTCCCAGCTCAGTTCTACCAAATGACCCATTTCACGTCATCTGGCAAATTCATCCTGGCTCTAGGGCTGTTGCTCGAACTACAGATCGCACTTACTAATGTTCGTATGAAGACCACCATCAGGCCCCCAGAGAGTGTGCCAGACTTTTAAGCCAATTTTCATAGTGGCCAAACAGTGGTACTGCAACCCCCGGGGTTCGTTACGTGATGCCATTGGGCCCAAAAAGACTTTTACCCATTGACTAACATTGTGAAAGACATGTCTGTAAATCAGTGGATACATTTTTTTGAGCGTCGCAACCCTTGAAAAACAACTTGTACCATTTAATTTGATAACGTTTGGAAAGTGCAAATCATTTTATCCCCAGTCAAGCTCAGGGGTTTAGTGTTGCTGTAGCCCACAGGAACTAGGCTTCACAGTACTTTTTCTTTTTCTCCGAGTGAGGAGTGGGACATATGCCGCCTTTTTTGCATCCAGGCACCACTGAGCACCTATCATAGGACTGACCAGGGACCCAACTTCAATGCTGTATGCAGGTCTCTTAACACATCCATGGCAACCATGGACACAAAGAGAACAGATCAGATCAAACAATAAAACCAGGCAGTGCTGATCGAACATAAATCAAGATTCTGAAGTTTTCAGAAATGTATGTTAGTGTACCATTTATCTGTAATTAGAGGTTGTTTGATACCAGCCAGCCGACATTGTGTCAAAACAGATAAGATGCCATTACGTCAGCTACCAGTGGGAGTGTTTACTGACCCAGTGTTGTGCAGTGCATTCTGGTTGTTGCTCTGTTTCTCTGGTCATGTAGCACCAAGTCCAAAAGCATTTCTGTCCGTCAGCTGCAGAGATGGCACAGTTTTATGAACAGGCAGTAAAACACTTTTTTAATAACTCTTAATAACTGTTTTGTCTCTTCTGTTTGAAATAAAGGTCGACAGGAAGTTTTGGATGTTTTTAAAATCAGTCTGAAGAGGAGATGTGAACGTGTGACTGAAGGAAGTGATGAAACAGGAAGTGGAACCCTCCTCAACAGGATCTACACTGAGCTCTACATCACAGAGAGACAGAGTGAAGAGGTTAATACCCAACATGAGGTGAAGCAGCTAGAGAAAGCTTCAAAGAAGAAGACCCTCCATGAAACTCCAATCAAGTGTCACCACATCTTTAAAGCCTTACCTGACCAACAGGGACACATCAGAGTGGTTCTGACCAACGGCGTCGCTGGCGTTGGAAAAACCTTCTCAGTGCTGAAGTTCACTCTGGACTGGGCCGAGGGTTTGGAAAACCAAGATGTCAGTCTGGTGATTCTGCTTTCGTTCAGGGAGCTGAACTTGATCAAAGATGAGCAGTACAGTCTTCTCAAGCTGCTCCATGTTTTCCATCCAACATTACAGAAGGTCACAGCAGAGGAGCTCGCTGTCTGGAAAGTTCTGTTCATCTTTGACGGCCTGGATGAAAGCAGACTGTCACTGGATTTCCACAACAATGAGGTCGTGTCTGATGTCACACAGAAGTCATCAGTCAACGTGCTGTTGACAAACCTCATCCAGGGGAATCTGCTTCCCTCGGCTCTGGTCTGGATAACTTCCCGACCTGCAGCAGCCAATCAGATCCCTCCTGCACGTGTTGACAGGGTAACAGAAGTACGAGGCTTCACTGACGCCCAGAAGGACGAGTACTTCAGGAGGAGAGTCAGTGATGAAGAGCGGTCCAGCAGAATCATCTCACACATGAAGACATCCAGGAGCCTCCACATCATGTGTCTAATCCCAGTCTTCTGCTGGATCACTGCTACAGTTCTGGATCACATGTTGACTACAGAGCAGAGAGGAGAGCTGCCCAAGACCCTGACTGAGCTGTACTCACACTTCCTGCTGGTTCAGACAAAGAGGAAGAAGCAAAAGTATGATAAGGGACAAAAGACAAGTCCACAGGAGCTGACGGAGGCTAACAGGGACATTCTTCTGAAGCTGGAAAGGCTGGCGTTTGAACAACTGGAGAAAGGAAACATCATGTTCTACCAAGAAGACCTGGAGCGCTGTGGTCTTGATGTCACAGAGGCCTTGGTGTACTCAGGAGTTTGTACAGAGATCTTCAAAAGAGAGTGTGTGATCTTCCAGAAATCAGTCTACTGCTTCGTTCATCTGAGCGTTCAGGAGTTTCTGGCTGCGGTGTATATTTTTCATTGTCACATCAACGGGGACAGCGAGACACTGGAGACTTTTCTGGGGAATGCCTGGGGTAGGTATCGTACCTGTGACCCATCTTTGGACATGTTCCTGAGGAAAGCCCTGGATGAGTCCCTGAAGAGCCAAAATGGCCATCTGGACCTATTTGTCCGCTTCCTGCATGGCCTTTCACTTGAGTCAAATCAGAGACTCTTAAGAGGACTTTTAGGTCAGACAGAGAGCAGCCCAGAAAGCATCCACAAAGTAATCCACAATCTGAAGGAAATGAGCACCTTTGACATCCCTCCTGACAGAAGCATTAACATCTTCCACTGTCTGATGGAGATGAACGACCACTCTGTACTTCAGGACATTCAAAAGTACCTGAAATCAGAGAACAGATGGGACACGCACCTCTCTGAGATCCACTGCTCGGCTCTGGCTTTGAAACTGAAGATGTCAGACGAGGTCCTGGATGTGCTGGACATGGAGGCGTACAGGACGTCAGAGGAGGGGCGACATAGATTGATCCCAGCTGTCAGGAATTGCAGAAAGGCTCGGTAAGCCAGCAAACATCTTATTCTCAGATTTCCTAGTTCTCAGCCGCCATGAATGGGGAGGTAACACCACTGGAGTGGTCTTTTAATGGAGCAGTGTATCAGATTTAGGGGGATTCAGTGGCATCTAGTGGTGAGGACTGCAGCTGAACCAGCTGAAACTTCTCCTGGTTAGAATTCCTGCAGTGTTCATTGTTCAGGAGGTTTTCACAGGGAGCTGAATTATCCACAGAGGTCTCTTCCTCTCCAAAATAAACAGACCAGATGGAAAAAACACAGTACAAATCAGCATTTGTGCAGATGGGCCGTTCGCCCAGTGTGTGCTCACCCTTTTCAGATTGAGACTTTCAGGAGGTTTTTACCTGGAACCGAATTATCGCCAGAGGCCCCTCCTCTCCAAAACAAATGGACCAGGCGATTAAAACCCTGAATAAAGCATTTGATGTTACAGATCAGCGTTTCTCTGACGCTGTTTGGCATGTCACAGATGAGCCTAGCAGCTACCTGCTAATATGTACCTATCCATTGTGTTCTGTACAAATAGAAATGTGTACACTGGGTTTCAGCTTTGGTTCAATAATCACTAATTCTTTATCAAATCTGCAGACTTTCCTGTTGTCAACTTTTGGAGACTCACTGTGAAGTCTTGGCCTCGGCTCTAAAGTCCAACCCCTCCCATCTGAGAGAGCTGGACCTGAGTGACAACAGGCTGCAGGACTCAGGAGTGAAGCTGCTGTCTGCTGGACTGAAGAATCCAAACTGTAGACTGGAGACTCTGAGGTCAGCCATCTTGATTTTTTATTGACTGTGCATTTATTAAGTGTCATGTTTATAGATATGTCTGTGAAGTGAATGGTTTGCTCTGTTCTTATATTCAAGAATGTAAAGCAGGTCCATTTGGCCTTCGACTCAGCACTTTAAGATTTTATGCACATTTCCTAGCGGCCATTAAAGGAACCTCAGCTTAAGGCCCTGTCTACATGTAAACAAATTTTTCTAAAAAATGGAAACAAAACAAATTCTGTCCACATGATCTTGGTTTTACAAAATAAAATGGCATACACTGAGGTGGAACCATAGACTGTATATAAATGGGTGGAACACAAACATTTGGGGCTCTAGATGACCTTATTTATCCTTGAAGTGGTGTAACCATACAGGGGTCAAGTGTGAAGTAGACATAAGTCCAAGCAGTGCTCACAAAACGTTAGCAAATCGGTAGTCTGCCATTTGTTGTTTCTAGCGTATGCTTATTACAGAAAGCAACAGTGGGCAAGTGCAAACTGAGGAGATGACGTCATCGTTCTCTGAACATTGTTTAGTTTTAAAAAAATCTGCACCTCAGAAGGCGTTTCATAAAATTTGTGTTTTAGTGACCTAAACCTGTTGAAATGTTGAGGAAAATATCTGTTTACAACAAAAATATCTGCACATGTGTAGACAGGGCCGAAAACACTTCCACATTTGCGTTAGATGTGGTGATTGTAATGTTGCCCTGTGTCTCATAATGTTCAGAAGTGAGGACGTACCTCAGCATGATGGCTGAAGTAGGCTTTTCCTGTCTTTTTAGCCTCACGCTTTATTTTTTGTTCCCTTATTCAGATTAAGTGGCTGCTGGCTGTCAGAGAGCTGCTGTCCTTGTCTGGCCTCGGCTCTGAAATCTGAAGCCTCCCATCTGAGAGAGCTGGACCTGAGTAACAACAAACTGCAGGATTCAGGAGTCAAGCTGCTGTCTACTGGACTGAAGAGTCCACATTGTAGGCTGGAGACTCTCAGGTCAGACAGTTACTCTTTGGCTCTGTCCTGAATATAGCAGTTGTCTACAGACATCAAGCCTATCATGCTGACCCACACTGACTATTACATAATAAACATGTGCTACACACTAACAGTCTGAACATGCTGTAGCAGAGAAAACTACACTTTATAATTCACTCTTGTTTATATGCTTTAATTAGAGCACTCACACCTTCACTGCCGCTAAAGAATCTTATAAATTTGTTATTTCTGGAATTGGAAACATTCGAAATTCTTTCCTGGAGTAAATGAAGTAATTTGTGACAAAAGAGCAAAAATATTCCATTTTAAAATGTGCTGACAGTTTGTTTACACACCATCAACTAACAGACAGAATACATATAAACATTGTTGGTTTGACTCAAAGTTTTATGAATTTTAACAAATGTTTTTTGCTTCCATTAGTTTGAGATACTGCAGCTTGTCAGAGAGCAGCTGTTCTTCTCTGGCCTCAGTTTTGAAGTCCAACACCTCCCATCTGAGAGAGCTGGACCTGAGTTATAACATGCTATATGACTCTGGAGTGGAGCTGCTGTCCGCTGGACTTGAGAGTCCAAATTGTCAACTGGAGACTCTGAGGTCAGAAACATTTTATTCACTCCTTTGTTAATGACATATTGAGGGCCTAATGTCTGTGGTTTTGGACATAATCCTCCATGGCTATGCTGAGTTCATGAAATGTTGAATATGATCTTTGAGAGTGTTTTCTCTAACTACACGTTTTGTTCTTTGTTCAGACTGAGTTTTTGCAGCTTGTCAGACATCAGCTGTAGTTTTTTGGCCTTGGCTCTGATGTCCAACCCCTCCCATCTAAGAGAGCTGGACCTGACTGACAACAACTTGCAAGATTCAGGGGTGAAGCTGCTCTCTGCTGGACTGGAAAGTCCACAATGGAGACTGGAGACTCTCAGGTCAGCGGTCATTACATTTATCTGACAAGAATATAGTTGTTGTCTTATCGAACCAAAGGTGAGCCACTGAGCCAATCAGATCAGGTAGAAACTTGTAATGATGATGTGTGTCTTGACCTTGTTGCTGTGCTCGTCCACACAGGGTGACAAAACCTCGAACGCAGCCAACAGCAACTGAAAAGTGAGTATCTCTCACATGTACATGAAACAGACATTTTTAGATTCAGTGTCACGTACTCTTCTTTAGTATAATTCTGTTATTTGCCTATTGTGAATTTATGTCCATAAATGTGCTTGGAAATCATAGAAAAAAATCCAACTTGTGACTTATACTTTATAAAATCTGCGCGTCCCTTTTCTGTTTCAGCTGCTGAAAACATTTTCCAACGGAGGGCAGTATCATCCGCATCAAACGACAGGAAAGACACTTGGAAGTGGAGATACCAAAAGCGCTCACAGACTCTCTAAAGAATCAGCATTACACTAAGATCCTTCTGTTCCCTCTTCAATGTGAAACAAGTTACTGAAGTGCAATGGATTGTTGGACAAGTCAAGACTGTAACACGTACACAAGTCACTGAAAATTCAGTCCAAAGGAGGACATGCGTTGGAGTCTTCAGACAGCCTGACTGTCCTGTAACAGCCTGGACTTTGAATAAGAGGAAGCACTTTTTTTTTAACAAGTTAGCCTCCAGCAAAACATTTTATTTTAGACCTGCGTTAAGAATACAGCTATAGATACATACAACACTATTTAAAGCCTCAGTGTGTAAAAATGGTGAGTAACAGTGACATCAGCGGTCAAATTCTAGATTGCAGCTCTCACTCGCGCTCACTCGCTAACCCCTCCCGTCGGGTAAGTGACGGTGGCCTCGTAGGACAGAAAGCCTTGCGCAGACAGAGATGGCATCATCCACGAGTTTTTCAAGTTTTTCAGGAGTAGGCCTATCTAGTGATGAGGCGAATATTTATTTAGGAATCTAAACCATGTTACGATGTTGTAGCGACCCTGCAGTAAACGTTCTGTTATAATGTCAATGTTCTGTGAGTTAATGGCATGTTTGGGATTGAATGAGTATAGGTAGGGGGGCGGGGTGCGAGTGTGACGGGGATGAGAGCTGTGTGAGTGTGCGTGCTGGTGTGTGTATGAGCGAGCTGGAGGAGAGAGCAGCAGTGCACAGTTGGAGTTACAGCTAAGTTCTTGTTTGTTGGTTGTTTTGGCGTAGTTACAGCCAACAGTAACCTGTACTGTTCAGTAATAAACGATGGTTTACCGAATAACTGCATCATCCTTTCAACAAGTCCTGGCGGACGCTACAATATGTTATAGCTTACCAGTGAAATATAGGTTATCTGTGAGATATAACGTTATGTTAGGAGTGTTTTATTTCTAATTGTTTTGGTAACACGAGCAAACATTAGCACAGTAATGCTAAAATAACACGTTTTATGTGATAGTCACGGCACAGTGCGGCAAATATAGGTTGGTACGATTATAATATATGCGTCTCCAGAGTGTTCTTCCACAGGAGTTCTTTCCACCTGGAATAAGCAACGCCGATATTCACTCGCATTTTGTCCCGTCCTCGCTTATCTGATCTTTTTCTTTTATTTGGTGGCGTGGTTTCCCTCTTACGGGGCAAAACATATGTGTGGTCCTCCATTTGAAGTGCGACAGAATCATTAAAGTACAAAGCAGGTTCACGCAGAAGTGCCTCGGATTGAGCTTCACCTTCTCCGTCTCCAGTGACGGCAAGTTCTAGGTAAACACGAAAGGTGAAGCACGTATATCCCTTTCGGCCACTGTATTCAAATATGGCGATGCAAGAGGGCAGCCTCCAGCAGACCGCGCCCTGCCTGTGTATATATAGAGAAATCATTCTAAGCCTATGAGAAAGCTTCCATTTGTGTGTGAACTGCATTGCACTTTAGTAAATATATATTTATGAAAGCAATAGTTGATATTTGCTAATAAACAACCACGTAAATTACACATTGTAACTTTAACTACTTATAAACTTCAGTTTTACTCTTGTGACGCCCTCCCACTGTCTTTGAGAACGTTCCAGTCAGCCTCATCGGGCAGTTGACTGACACGGGAGGGTCGTTACTTGTTCTTTCCTTTCCTTTCAGCTGACATCCACCAGGCATCATGACTTTTGGTTTGCACCCTCAACACCTCCACAGCACACCTGACACTCACCCATGCGTGGCTTTCATGACTGACTTTGCTGACCTACACACTCCATTGATTACTCAAGCTAATTTTAGTTTAATAAATTCTGCTTGTTTAAAGTAAATCTTTTGCATGGACTCCCTAACTGTCACATTCACTGAACCAGTTTGTGACACTCTGCATGTTATGATGTACGTCATATCTGTGATGTGTTTCCTAAATAAAGCAACAAGTGTTAAATTATGGGATGGCAGTGTCAGTTGGTCGACCACTTTAATCCAGGCTGAAATATCTCGAACAGTTCAATGGAATGTGATTCAGGTATTCATAATCTCCGCAGGATGAATCCTAATGTGTGTCGTGTTTCATTGCCGCAGATTAATAGGACCTATTTACACCTGGCATTAACATGCATCTTGGGTAATCTGATCACAAGTAGACAGCTCTGAGCCCTGACACACCAAGCTGACAGTCAACCGTTGGCCAGTGTTGGGCCATAAGGAACCGTCTGCTGCCCTTGTTGTGGCTGTGTGCCACACAGTTGGTCCTTGTCCTCTGTGTCTCTGCTGATTCAACATGTCATATTGATATTGGCGCTGGCTGAGCCCATCTGAGACTGAAATCACTCTGTCAGTTCGGTTCAGCACAGCAGAAGAGAAACTGAAGTGAGGAAAGTAAACAAAGACCTGTAGTCCAGAGGGAGTGAGACCAAAACAAACTTGTTCTTTGACATAAGAATATTTTTTATCTGTTGAACTCGTTAGCAGAAACAGTTTCTGAATGTTTGTGTTCACTGGTGCGTGGTAAATACTTATGCTAACTGGCTAATTAGCACCATGACAGTCTTCCTGTTTCCCTTTTTGAATGATGAACATAGACCAGAGTCCTGCACTGGGTCCAGTAACTTGTGTGAAGTTGTGTAACAGGTAAAAAAAGACATATTTATATATAAATTGACAGATAAAAATGAACTCCATGTCGGCGGGCAGTGGCTGGGAGCAAAAATCAATGTTTTATTTTTCAGACTAAAACAAAGTTAAAAGCTGTGCAGTATATGTGTAATGGTTTAACATCTCAATCACTATTATCAAGCCGCAGTTCCTTTTTTTTTGAAAGTCAGTGGCACAAGTGTAACCTTTGACCTCGTGGTCAGGCGCAGGACGCACATGCTGGTTGGCCGTCAGCTGTAGCAAGACCAACTTTTGATACAGTTCAGGTACATTCAAGGTTCAAGGTGAGCCTTGAGTCCGGCATCTTGAGCTGCTTTCTTGGATTTCTGGAGTCAGAAGTGACTGTATTTGGATGAGAGGGTAGAGACGAGGAAGATTCTACACTTATATTTTGATTGACAGGTTGCAATGGTAGCAACTTGTCAATCAAAAGGTAGCCACGCCCTAAAGCCTCCCCCGCTTAATGGTGTATTTTCCTCTAAATGGGAGCAGAATTTACAAAATGATGTCATGCCGTGTTGAAGAAGACCTGAAACCAGAGACTGAGATCATGAACTCATCAGGAAAAAGTTTACTGAGGTCATAAATCAAGTGAGAAGTGAAGTTGCCCCCTGCTGGCCATTAGAGGCACTTTTCAGACACGGAAAAAACCCTCTTGCATGTGAACGTAGCACAAGCACTCGACTGTCCTGCTGTTATTACAGACATGTCTGAGCTACCCTGCAACTTCTTTAACCTGCAAAGGTCTGTGGGCTCATGGGAAATGTTTGTTAAAGGTCTTTAATTCCTCCACACTGGTGATAGCCGTGTCCGGAGGCACCATGTTTTCATGTTGTCCATCCATCCCATTCTCGTAAACACAATATCTCGAGAACGCCTTGAGGGAAGATTTTCTAAAATTTGGCAAAGACCGACTTGAGCTCAACAATGAACTGATTAGAATTTGGTGTTCATAGGTCAAAGGTCAAGGTCACTGTGACCTGTGCCCATCTCATTTCTCATGAATGTAAAGCCCTTTTTAAACAGGAGTTGTGCAAATGTGCAGGAAAGCCCAATCAGTCTTTTTTCAGCATTGGCAGTATAAAAGCAAAATCAGGGAGTGCAGCAAAATGCCGCCTACCTACTTTTGTTTATACAGAATGTGCCTTTTTCGGGGCAATGGGGGGCGTGAGCAAGTAACAAAACGTGTAGCTCAGCGTGTGACGTAAACAGTGACGTGGGAGGGAAGCCGCGGCTGGTCAGTCCTTCGGAGATTCTCTCGTAAGTCGGCCCGTCCTTCACCGTCCCCGTCATCTGATGGTTAATGGCCTCTTCGTTTGCGAGGACAAGGAGGGCGCGCAATTCCTTGTCTCCCCAGTTGCTCATCTTTACAGTGTCTGTCAGGTTTGTGTTTCCCTCTTGCTACTAGCTGCTCGCTAATTCCTGCTATCAGCTGTTTCCTGTTTATCCACCGCCAGTGGCTCGCACCTGCGGCGCCATCAACAGCTCCTCCCACAAGTCATCAACAGCTCCTCCCACAAGTCATCAACAGCTCCTCCTACAAGTCTTCAACAGCCCCTCCTGTTGCAGAAGGCCGCCTCGGTCTGTTTAAACCAAAAGGGTTCCACCAATATGTCTACCCTACGAGGCGGAAAATTGGGCACCTCAGATCAACTCACCAATCCGGCTCTGTGTGTCTAAATGCTCGCACCTTGCCTGCAAAACGGCCCAACATTCACCAACAATCTGGCAGCGTAAAAGGGGCTTAATATCTCAAGAACCTCTCAACGGAATTTCTTCAAATTTGGCACAAACAAAGACTTTTACTCAACAATTAACTGTTTACAATTTGGTGGTTGAACGTCAAAGGCCACTGTGACCTGTGTCCATTCTCATGAATGTGACATCTCAAGAATGTCTCGAAGGAGTTTCCTCAAACTTGGCACAAATGTTCACTTTGACTGAAGTGTCCAAGTGTTAGGTCATGGTCAAGGTCATCGTGACCTAACAAAACATTTTCACCCTCGACCAGGCAAGCTAGCCGCCAGCTAGAAGTCAGCAGAAGAAGAGTTTACTGACTGGTGAGTTGATGTCCTCGTCCTTATGAGTGACTCGCAGCCACATGTCACCAGCGTCCAAAGCAACCACAGAAAGCACCACCTACACTTGCAAAATAGACATAAGAGCCTAAATTTAGCAGAGTTGGCACAAATTTAGAGAAGCTGACAGATTACAGCTAACAGTTTACAGACGTCTCTTTATGATGGTGGTCTGTGGGGAAAATCATTTCTGGGTTGCAGGGATTTTTTTAGCTGTAATACCGCAAGTGGCCACCAGGAAAAATTGGCTGCAAGATGGAGTGGCTTTCTTCAGGGTCTGTTTATTTTACAAGGGTTTTAAATGAAGAACGACATCATCGGGGGGAAACAGGAAGTCCACTCAGTTTTTTTTCTTTTACTTAAACGTTTAGCCGAGTGCTTTTAGTCAAAACTCAAATTTAAAAACAGAAGAAAATGTTTTAGAGAAGTTTGAGACAAGTTTTCCTCAGAAACATTCAGTGTGTAATTTGTGCAGTGCAGATGAAGTACGAAGCATTTCCACATGAAAGGAATAAAGACTTTTGTTTAAAACATTCTCTCTTATTGTCTTTTCGTTTGCCGCGAGGAGACTTTATGACTTGTTGGTTTGAGTCAGTCACTTCCTGTGTGAAGAAGGATTTCCTGCCAGAGAACAAAGTGTGTTCAGGTGAAACATGAGCTGTGAATGAGTCAGGAGAGGGTTAACTTCCTGGCCCCTCTCCCTGCGGCTCAGCCTGTCATGAAACCTGTTTCTACTCGCCTGAACATTTCTGATTTCACAAAGAGTCTTCACATCTCTCTGTCGGCTCGACGTCTCGCCATGTTCAGATCCCTCTGCAGGTTTGGTGTCCGCTGCTCTCGGCCTGCAGGAGTCAGAATCTACACGGTGAGTTTAACATGTTTAAAGTTTAACAGCTTTCAGACATCACGTAAAGTGTCTAGTCTGGAGAGACTCTTCACCCTTTGTTCGGTACAGGAATGGTCATTTTCCTGATGGGTTTAGGTGTGACGCTCTTTAAATCTGTTAATGCATCAACATTTGAACAAAATCAAACATTTGTACATTTGTGTCAAGAACATAAACACTGCTGAGCCGCGTACTGTTAGTACTGGTACTGAGTTATGCAACTTCTTCTGGTGCTACCTCCAGTATTGGAACAGCTGCAACATACTGCAACTTTACTGATAGTGGTGGTGTTAATACTGCTGCTGCTGCTGTGAGCATGAGACAGGACTGTGTGTGCGTGTGTGTGTGTGTGTGTGTGTGTGTGTGTGTGTGTGTATGTGTGTTATGTCCTGCAGCCATACAGCACATACCTCTGTGTGCCTCTCAGCCGTTCAGCTCGTCTCTAACCTCCATTGTTTGTGCAGCCACACCTTTTTATCTGGAAAATGATCAATATGTGTGTTTCCCAATCTGCCACCTCTGTGCTGAAGGATTGGTGAGGTTGAGCCAATAAAAGGACTCGACTGTGTGTTCACGCTCAAACGCTAACAGGAGGGTGTGTTCGTTTTCCTGACTTAAACTCAGCAGTCTGAGTCATGAATGTAAGAATGTGCTGTTCTCTCTCAGTCCAGTTGGGTCTGGTCTGCGTGCGGCGTGTCCAGTTACAGCAGCCAAGCTCCATCTGAAGGTAACTGATAAACTCACAACAGCATCATCTGTAAACCGTCTCAGTTAAAGCACCATAAAGGACTGTAAACTAAGAGTCTACAGCCTGGCAGCAGCTCTGTCTTTGTCTCACCTGTCGGTATTTAACCCCCCGGTCCTGTCCCTGTCCCTGTCTCTGTCCCTGTCTCTGTCCCTGTCTCTGTCAGATGTGTCTGTGCGTTACAGCCTCGGCCGGCTGGTCCTCTCTCTGCGCCTCCCCACAGGTCAGCAGCGTCGTTTCACTCTGACACCCATGTTGACCACGGTCGGTGACCTGCTGCATGACATCAAAGCAAAGGACCCCGGGGTGCACACCGCCACCCTGCTCAACAGAGGTAACACACACACACACTTGTAAGGACCAAATTCACGAGCCCAATGTCTGATCCTTAAACTAATTCTGACCTTTAATCTGATTTCAAATGATAATTTTCAGCCTTTGGAACAAATCAAACTTCCTCACTTTCTTAAAAAGTTCTTGTCATCCAAAAATGTCCAAACTTTTTTAAAAAAATTACTCACTCTTGAAAAATGTTCCTGCTGCCTACAAATGTCCCCAAATGTCCCCACTTCCCAAAACTGTCTCCATTTTCCAAAACGTCCTCACTTGTAACAAATACTCTTAGTTTTCAAATTTCTTTAAATGTCCTTACTTTTAATATTCTTGCTGTGCACGAATGTCCTCACTTTCTAAAAATATCTTCACTTTCCAAAATGTTCTCGCTTTTATAAATGTCTCTTCTTTCCAAAAATATTTTCAGTTTGAAAATCCTCTCACTTTTGACAAACACTAACACTTGCCAAAATGTCCTTTGTTTTTTAAAATGTCCGTACTCAAGAGAAATGTCACACCTGTCCACACTTTCTAAAATGTTTTCACTTTCCAAGAATTTTTTTGGTTTCAAAAATGTCCACATTTTCTAAATATGTCCCTTCCTTGCAAAACTGTCCTCCCTTTCCACAAATGTCCCTGCCCTATAAATATATCCTCACCCACAACAAATGTCCACAAATGTCTGAGAGTCAACAAATGTCTGCAGTTTCCAAAATGTCCTCACTTACAGCAAATATTCTCACTTGCCAAAATGTCATCCAACCCCTTAAATGTCATTTTAAAAAGAAAACTCTGCAGTTCACAAATGTCCTCACTTTTCACAAATGTAATTTTCTTTAAATGCCCCTACTTGAAAGAAAAGTCCCTCCTGTCCACAATTGTCCACACTTTCTAAAATGTCTTTACTTTTCAAGAATAGTTTCAGTTCCAAAAACACATTTTCTAAATATGTCCCCTCTTTACAAAAATGTCCTCACTTTTCACAAATATCCCTTCCCTTTAAATATATCTTCACCTACACCAAATGCCTCACTTTCCAAAATGCAATCAATCTCGCTACATGTCCATACTTTTAAAATATGTCCCAGCTGTACACAATGTCTTCAGACTCCAAACACTTCCTCACTTACAGCAGATTTATTCACTTTTAAAAAATGTCTCTGTTGTCTTAAAATGTTTCAGCGTCCTCAAAATGTTATTGTCCAAAAAAAAATCTCAATTTCCTCACTTGTTTGAACATCTAAAAGTCAAACTGGTCCTCACACAGACTAAACTAAACTTTCCTTTGTCTCCTCAGACGGACAGAGAATCTCTTCATGCACCTTCATGGAAACTGTTCTGATAGAAGATTTTCAGCTGGTGATCAATGACGTCACGCACAACGTCCGCTCGCTTGGACAAGGTACGACCTTCATGTGTGTGTGTGTGTGAGGGGTGAAGTTAGCTTAGCTTAGCATAAAGACACGAAACGTGGAAGTATTAACATGTGGTATTCAGTGTGTGTGATCAAAGGAACACCACTGACCCGTCTGTCCATCAGGTTCGTCTCATGAACACGTGCTGGGTGTGGACGACATGAAGTACGTGGTCCATCTGCTGCACTCGGCTCTGACTCTTCCTCAGCAGCAGCACATCAAACACACAGAGCTGCTGATCAGACAGGAGCAGCTCAGGGAGCAGCTGCAGCCGCTCGAGACGGTAACACACATCACACACTGCTGTACACCAAATACTACTGCGGTTACACGCTGACAACCAGGGGTGACATTTCTACTTGTATGAACTGAAGGATCGGAGTACTTCCTGTGCTCAATACAACACGATACGACTCAGACGCTAAAAAGACATTCAGAATAAATATGAATAAACCTGTGTGTGTGTGTGTGTGTGTGTGTGTGTGTGTGTGTGTGTGTACAGGTGCAAATCAAGTTAGCGAAGGCGGCGGACAAGAGAGCATGGATACTGGGGTGGGCGGGGCTTGCCTACCTGTCGCTGCAGGGAGGATTCCTGGGTTACCTCACCTGGTAATGAACCAGCCCAATCACCAGATTAATGTTGGCACTGTTCATGTCTGCAAACTGAGGATATGTTTGTGTGTTATTATGTAAAGGACACATTAATCTTCGTTTTCATGTTTGGAAAACATCATGTTTGTGGTTCAATCAACAGAGAAACAGCGGTGTGGTTTATAGAAATGTACAGAGCCAACTTTATCCTCTGGCGCCAGCTGCATGAACAAATCTGAACCTTTGCTGCGCTCAGGGAAGCTGTGACCATGTTCAACACGTGTGTGTGTGTGTGTGTTGGCAGGTACGTGTTCGCCTGGGACGTGATGGAACCAGTCACCTACTTCATCTCCTACACCACCAGCATGATCTTCTTAGCCTACTACATCCTCACCAAACAGGTAGGAGCCCCGTCTCCGTGACGACTGCAGACTGTATACGAAGATTGACAGTGTGTCTCCTCTTCCTCCCACTGTACACAAATGAAGCCCAAATATACCAGATATGGCTGCTGCCATCTTGTGCTGCTGACGTCATTCGGAGCCAGAGTCTGGCTATATCGCGAGCTGAACACTGATTGGCTCACAGAGTTGTCAATCATGACATCACATCCCCCTTTTTGCAGCCTCAAGTAACTGATGACAGGAAAGTGAGTGTGATAAGAACGAATTAAGATCTTAAGATGACGGAAACCACCTTTGGAAAACATTTATATAACATTGAGTTTTGAGTTTGGTTGATGTCATGTACTAACATGGAGGGGGAGGGGTTAATGATCAGTGTGTGTGTGTGTGTGTGCAGGACTTCCTGTATACGCAAGCGAGGGATCGTCAGTTCCTTCACCTCTTCCACCAGCGAGCACATGGACAGAAGTTCAATGTTCAAAAATACAACGAGCTCAAAGACGAGCTGGCAAAGGTGATGGACACACACACACGCACGCACGCACGCACGCACATTTTTTTTTTTTTTACGATTAATTGTTATTAATAAAATTGTAGTAATCATAAACTCTGTGTGTGTGTGTGTGGGTGTGTGTGCAGGTGGAGAGTGATCTGAGGAGTTTGAGATCTGCCATTCGGCGGCAGGTGGCTCAGCCTCAGAGAGCCGCCTGACATTTTTACTTTGGTCTTTTTTTGTGACATTAAATGTAAATTTTGCACATTTTTTTGTACGAACTGTCTCTAGAAAAACAAGGTTCTTTGTAGCACAAGCTTCGTTCAGTTGTATGTATGACTGACAGAAAAATAAAAAACTACATTTTCTAAGTTTATATCCCTGCAGCATTTTTTGGTATGTGTTTGTTTTTTTAAATGAATGTTTAAGTGTGTTATGTGTCAAAATCCCTTATTTTCAGCTTCCTATAGGACCCTTAAATATTTTTGGTGACACATCCGGCTCTTATGGGCACAAACAGGTTTCTATTAAGAAAAGTTAAGACCTTATATATCCTGAGGGAAACTGTGCTTCAGCTGCAGCACAAACATACAAAGAAGGAAAGAGTGCAAATCTTTTTTTTTGTTAGTGAACAAAATGTGCTGACTGTAGAAACAATACTTTTGTTTTCATTACATATAAAATTGTTTTTACTGACAGCTGTGGAAACAAATTAGCTTCAAACACACATCAGGAAAAATATTTTATTGAACACAAAATGTCATTTTGATAAAATCAGTAAACAAATCACGGGCCATTAAAGTGAGTGAGTTTTTAAAATTAAAACAGCTTGACTCTTTACACCTCTGTGTGTATCAGTGTGTGTGTGTGTGTGTGTGTGTGTTGGCCTTATCAGGAGTTGAACCTGGTGACTGCAGGCCACCCTGTTTGACGTCTGATCCACTCAAAGTAATGAGCGACCTGTCAGAGAGAGACAGAGTTAATACTGATGTGACATCATTTGTGAACATGTGAAAATATAAATATAAAAGCAAACAATGAAATAAATTTACTGTCAGCTGTGTGTTTGTAAGATCTGACCTCAGTACAAACAGACCCTGGCACTGAAAGTGGAAGGAACCGAGTGTTTGTAGAGATTTATTTGTGGTGCAGTCTCATTTTTTAGGGGTGTAAGATGGCCTCATGGAGTTTGGCACAGACATCAGGGTTCTGTAGTGACGGGGCTCCGGCGTCACCAGTGGGCTCTATAGCGCCCCACATCCATGCCCCAGTGGAATAAAGTTCCTCCAATGATCACAAAGTTTGGCTAAAACATTGCTCTCATCTTCAACAGCATATAAAATTTGGGTGAAATTTTTTAGCCCAACGGTATGTCAGCCATTTTGGATTTCGTGAGTTACATTTCATTTTAACAGCATGTTTTAGACAGGATGAACTGAGACTCACAAAACTTTGCACACATATTCAAACCAGCAGCATTTTGATTTAAAGGTCTAACTGGGCCTGGACGCCCTTGCCATACTTCAACTCATGAAACTTAGCGCCCACACTCAAACCTGTGAACATCACGAGACTTTATAGTGATTAGTGGGCTCCGTTGTGCCCCCTAATACGTGGAGGTGAAGAGGCGAAATTACTCTTAAGGACCTGACACACCAAGCCGACAGTCGGCTGTCGACCAAAGTCGGGCCGTCGGTGAGCGTCTGTCGCCCTAGTTTTTGTGGTGTGTCCTGCACCGTCGGCACTTTGGCGTCTGCGACTTTTCAGCCAATTGAGCATGTTGAATCGGCGGCGGAGCTTGTCGGTGAGAGAGATCACTCTGATTGGCTGTTCAGGTTTTATTTCCTCGCCCCTGTAGCGAGTGAATCTGCCTGTAGTGAAACCGGGGCTAACCGGTGCTTCCTCCTCAGGCTCCACTTCACTCAGCTGCCCCACAGACCCGCTGCTTCTTCACACTTTAACCTGAATAACAAACCGGAACTAGCTGGGAGCGGCTAGCGGAGCGTTAGCCGCAGCATGACCGGAGGGAAGCACAGCCAGTTAGCCTCCGCTAGTCTCTGAGCTAGCCCCGGCTCTCCGTTTGGATCCAACCGGAGCACCGAGCCCTGGTTTGTTATTCAGGTTAAAGTGGGAAGAAGCAGCGGGTTTATCGGGCAGCTGAGTGAAGTGGAGCCTGCGGAGGAAACACCAGGACCGTCTGGATGTAATAGTCCGTGGAGGTGCTGCGGTGCTCGGCTGCACAGATAGGAAACCCCTCGGCTGACAGGATGTACCACTCTCTCACGCCGCTCTCTCTCACGCAGGCGCAGAACGTATGTGCTACTTGGCCGTCGGATGTAGTCCGTGTAGTGTGTTCAAATGCAACTGACACAGGGCGACGTGAGGCGACGTAGATGACGCAACAGTTGGCTTTTGTCGCCGCTAGTTCTTTGATGACGTTTTACCTTTACATTCACGAAAAGTTTGTGTTGCTCTCACCATTTTTGGACACATTTCTCACTGGGTTTCATTGGCTCCACCCATCTGGAAGTTGGCCGTTTTAGATCTTGTCCATTTTTCATGTATTTTATACAAACTTTTTCAAACTCCTCCCAGAGGGTGTTTTTCAGATTTGTTTCAGATTTGGGTGGTATAACCCTCCGATCAATGTGACATTAAATTGTGAAGAAATAGTTGATAGTTCGATGATGTCATAGGTCACATCAGAACATGCCATTTTATGCACTCAGTCCAGTTCAAATCAAAGATTTGCACCAAGAGGGGTTAAAACAGGCGACCACTTGCAGTGTGACGATCGGCAAGGTTGTAAAAACCCGCCGGTAAATTTTGTCTTGACCAGCAGACTTCACTACAAGCTGATTGGCTGTTGAAACAGGTGACGTGCTTTAAAACCAGCCGCTGACCATTTGACCAGCTGAGTGTCAGGTGACACCATCAGCCGGCTCGACTCGACCTCAGATCGGCCAGTTCACACCGCTGACACTTTTCTCTGCAGCGTTCTAAAACAGTTTGGTCACCAATCCTTGGTCTGAACTGGGCTGCACTGGTATGGATCTCTACGAAACTCCTCCCACAGGATTCAACAGATCCATCTCAAATTTAGGCAGCAGAATCCCTAAACCTTCACGATGCTGAATCGTCAAGCGTTCTTGTTTTTAAAGAACAGCATGTCCGTGTCAAGGCGGGCAGTTTGCATGTTTCGAAATGACACCTGAAGTTCTTGGAACACGAAAACTGCCCCACATATCACATGCTGGAAAAGAGTCCAAGCCTGAAGACGTCTACATGCTCATATTGACTCAAAGTCATAGCGCCATCTACTGACAACAGGAAATGAGCATCAGCGTCTTCTAGCACGACACGGTGAGCACAGGAAGTAGTATTTTAGCTCCACGTACTCAACGCAGGAAATACCATCTAACTCCTGCACAGTGTCCGACTTCCATGTGAACGCGCTGCCCCAACAACCTGAATCCCGCCAGCGCTCCTGATGCGTACACAGATGCCTGTTCACTGCCTGCAGCTTTAATTCTACTTCCTGTGTGTGTGTGTGTATATATGTGTACATGTACTTCTCCTGCGTATTTACCTGCGTATAAACTCCAGGGAATCCCGGCGCTCCACACCTCTCTCCCCAGCTGACGAGGCCCCACAGGTATGAAACCCCCAGTTCGTCTTCACAGACCAGCGGACCTCCACTGTCCCCCTGACACGAGTCCACACTGCCCTCCAGATCACCTGCACACACACACATTAACACCTACACTCATGTGTCTATGAAGCAGCTTGTGTGTTCACATCTCATCCACCACACACACACACACACACACACACACACACCCACCTGCGCACATCATGCCGGGTTTGTAGCGATCTTTGTAAAACCTCTGGCAGTCTGCGATGAGGGACACCTTGGCCCAGAGCAACACCTGAGCTGATCTGCCACCTGTCGACAGGTTGAACAGGTTCATTTTATCACCAGAGGAGCTCATTGACTCTAACGTCACTTCGTAAAGTTCCAGTCGATGAAACACGTACTTGCAGTTCGTCCCCATCCAGAGATGCTGCAGGTGTGGTTGGGCTGAAAGAGCTGGGTGGACCAGGGAACGCAGACGGCGCTGACGGCCGGGTTGTCCTCCAGACATATGTCCGTGAATGGAAGCTTCTTCAGCAACACCAGAGCGATGTCATTCTCATAGGTGTTGGCGTTGTACCTGCAAATCATTCAGACACACACATGGGTCTCGTGCTCTGTTACAGGTCACGTTAAGTTTAAGTGCACGTGCAGTGACTGAGGGTTCAGGTCCATACATACTTTGGGTGGATGCGAATTTCTTCAACAGGAACGATGTCAGTCGTGTTCTGAGCTCGAGACTTCTTCCAGAGAGAGAACTTCACCTTGAATGCAGACGGGTGGGGTCTGAGGAGACAGAGAGAGGCAAGACACTGTTGATGCCATTAACAAATGTAAAACATGTTAACTGCTGTACATGTTTAAGATCCTTCTCATTTTAACTCCTTTATTTACTGCTGGGTAGTTTCAACATTCCGTGCTTTGTGACGCCGACTCTTCCAGCTGATCCAAGAAGGTTTTTAAGAGTTTAATCAGCTTAAGAGGAAGGTGACTTTGTAGTTAAAGCTCCAGTGTGCAGGACTCAGTGGGCAGAAATGGAAATTAATATAACTAGTCCATGCATTGAGTGCACAGGTGCCCACGTACAGCTTTACATGGTGTGTGTTTGGGATACAGGTCATAGGAAACTGCAGATTAAATAGTCAACTGAACCCATTAAGAAGAGCAATGTATTCAGACAGAGTGTTTGTGAAGCTGATAGTAGACCCCGAGATGCTTGAACTCCTTCACTAACTCTCACGACCTGGAGGGAACAATCCACCAAAGGCCTGGAGAAAGAGACTAAGGGCTAATGGGAAGAAATAGAATTGGTCCTAGGTCTGTAAGGGATCCATTTGGGATTGGGGGAATATTTCACACTGACACCACTGCTTCATCTTTTACTTGTTGCTGAACACCGGTCGTACCTGACGCAGTGAGCAGCGGTGAGTACCCAGCACCCTCCGATGTAAGCGCCTCCACAGTCGATCTTGCGGTTCTCCTCCAGAGCAATCTGCCACTGGATCTGAGTCTGCAGGACACCAAAGAAAAATACAGTATTTGCAATTTGCTTCAAGTTTTATGTCCAATGAAAATAAATGTTTAACCTTGTTAACACATCCATGAAGTGTTTATTTGCACGATGTCATGAGCAAATAAGCAGTCAGCGCCATGGCATTACCACCTTGGAACTGCAGGGTACTAACAGCAGTCTCAGGAAGACAGATTCAGACTGACGGGGTTTGTTTGGGGGTTTTGTCACA